TTTTTTTTCCAAGGGTGACAAACTAACACAACAACAACTTGCAGGTAAGCATTTGTTTATCTTTCTCGGAATAATATCTTTAATATTTGTGTTTGTGTACATTCTGCCATGAATCCCGTTTTCTTCCGCAACAAATTTGCTGAGAAAAAAACCGACAAACTTGCCTCGTAGGTATCCAATCAACCTCTTATCACCGATCACTTGACATCCTTTTTCTCCCTAATGTACACTGGGATTATTCGGTTATCAGTAAATGAAACATTGACAAGTAATACAAGGCGTTTTAGTGGCTTTCCGACAAGCACTTAGTACATTTTCAACTCAGACCGGATAAACTAGAGCGCTTTCTCAGCGCGGCTTTAATCACGACTTTTCTGGAAGTTCCAGAATGCGCCTTCCATCGCTCCTCTGGGCAGGGAATTTCTCTTCTTAGAAAAGTAAATAAAATTATGAAGGAATAAAAGTGCAGATAGATAGAAGACAAATATTAAGAAATTTAAAATAGTTCAGGGCATCAAGGGTAGAGTAAAGGTCTTGGGTTCTGACTTCATTATATTTGAGGGTTTTCCCGTTTTCCTTCCTCTAAAACCTGAATTCCAATTCACTCTGTGAGTCAGCCGTGCCCTGATTTTGATCAGCCCAGAGGTGGTTTTAGCATATTAATAAATTATCGAAAATTTAAGGTTTTTTAAAAAGAGTTTAATGGACTTAGGGCTACGGCTCTTGTGTACAGAAGCCAACATTATCACTGGATCAAGACAAGGCCATTCTATATTAACGCTAGAAAATATTGAGCGAAATGTATAACTCGACTTCCATACATACTTTTTATGGACGTTTCTCACTCGGCAGCCATGTTGACTGGAAAAATAGATTCGCCCACTTTTCTGTATTCAAGCGTTTTAGAACAAGGTTACGCGAGTTTAAACAAAGTTTTTTTTATTCTCATGGCGCCGTGTGATAAAGATCCTTCTCATACTCATTAATAGTTCATGAGTAAACCAGCCAATCAATGGGCTATTTTTTGGGTCACATGGTGTTACTAGAAACCTGATAAAGTCCGGTGAAAGGACTGAATTAATTTTGTTCAAGTCCTTGGACTGGATCAAAAGTAATTCAGTTCAGAGACATATCTGTCCCTTGAGTCTTTCAATCCTAAACAAATAACCTCCCGAATTATTAATGAGTATGAGAAGTCATTTCAAAGCCTCCAAATCGGACTGGAAGGGATTTCAAGTCCTTGCAATTAGTTCCAGTCCTCGGCTGCTTGAAATCCCGTCCAGTCTTCATGGTCGGCTTTGAAATATTACATAAAGAAGTGGCTATCGATTCGATCATTATTATTTAGAAATAGAGGCAGCTTTCAAGAGATTTGACAAGAACGGTGATGGTGCCATCAGTGCAGAGGAGTTGGGTAACGCCATGAACGAAGCAGGGCAGCCAGTGAGTGAAAGTGAACTGAAAGATATGATCCGCGCTGTGGATGTCAATGGTAAGGCCAAAGAGAGTTTTGTCGACAAAGATAAATATTTGTGCAACGTCCATTAGATATCCCCGCATCTTCATTACACATCCCTGTACCATCACAGAGCATCCGCGCACGACCCTCGAACATCCCCGTACCATTGCCGACCTTCGCGCATGACACTCGGACATTCCCGTACCAACACCGAGCATCTGCGCACGACATTCGGACGTCCTGTACCATCACAGAGCATCCGCGCACGACATTCGGACATCCCCTCACCTACACCGAGCATCCACGCACGGCATTCGGACATCCTGTACCATCACAGAGCATCCGCGCACGACATTCGGACATCCCCTCACCAACACCGAGCATCCGTGCACGATATTCGGACATCCCCTTACCAACACCGAGCATCCG